GAGTTTGGTTAAACGGTTCATTATGAACTTTGGTAGGTTTTGAGCTCGGTGGTGGCTCAGAACCTGGTGAGTGGTAGGGGTATCTGGGTATACCCCTACCTTGGTTATTTAACAAAGGTTGGCACTTATATGATGTTTGTTATTACTGTTGTTTATGTTATTTATATTTACGGAAAGGATGGGTCATTGCCTTTTGGTTTGGGGACATATGATGTTATATGGCGGGATGGGGGCTGGGCAATGACTTTAATTTATTGTTATCAATATTAATAAAGCTGTGGGCATATTGACCCATACATTAGTGTCAGTTTGTTTTGGGGGTAAGTTTTGTGGGAGAATTCCACCTGCCCAATTGGGACTATGCGCCTGTCATGCCATTGAAACTAAAATTTACACAAAATACAGTGCTCATTTGATCCCCATAATGAACTGAATCCCTATATGTGTTTGCTAAGATAGATGATTTTAAGTAGCCTTGTATAATTCTAAACTGTATTTTTGTGTGTGCGCTGTTCCTTAAACTGTAATTTGTGTATGTGTTTCAGCACGTATCTATGTGTGTATGTGTCATTGTGTATAAGTGTGTGCATGTGTGTGCATGTATGGCAGTGTAAGTGCATAGGTACACTGGAACCCAGGGAAGCTACCCTCCCACACAGTAGATAGAAAAGAACACAAATTGAAAACAATATACACAAAATATATACCACAAAATAGCAATATAAATATACCCAGCCATATCCTTATTTGGACCCATAATACAAAATATAACACCCTACACAACCTGATAAATATAGATATAGATATATATATATATTATTGAAGAATATTGGATGGCATACAATGAGTTAACTGACAAAACCACAATACAGAAGATGAAAGGGCGAACACCATAAATGAATAATGTTTCGGCTGTAAGCCTTTCTCAAGGGAGGACCCCAGGGAAGCCACCCTCATGCACCCAAAAGATATGGAAACAGGAGATTTAAAATATCTAAAATATGACCTGCATCTGTTTGTATACCTGTATGTCTGTGTGTCATTGGGTATAGCTGTGTGTCAGTGTGTTTATATCTATGTGTCATTGTGTTTCTTTGTGTGGCATTGTGTGTATGTATATAGGTGGAGTGAAAACTAGTCCATCTTGTCTGATCACACAGAAGAGCTACTGTAGCTCAAATTGCTCAAAATGTAATGCTGGCCACAATAGAAAGGTGTCAGAACACACAGTGCACCCTAGTAGTTGTAGACCTGTCAGAGTTCCCATGATAAACCTTGTTCATTGACAAGAACGTCTTCAATGGGGACATGACCATTAGAACTAGACATTAAGCAATAGAAGAATGTTGCTTGGTCTGATGAAGCATGTTTTCTTTTAGATCAGGTGAATGGTCAGGTGATTGTTTATTGTTTACCTTGGAAAGAGATGGAATGAAGGCAGGCCAGCAAAAGTGTTATGGATAATGTTCTGCTGGGAAATCTTGGGTCCTGGCATTCATAGTATATTTCTTTGACATGTACCAACAACCTAAAGATTGCTTTAGACCATGTACACCCCTTGATGGCAAAGGTGTTCTCTGGTGGCAGTGGTCTGTTTCAGAAGGATAATGCACCCAGCAAGAACTATTCAGGAATGGTTTGAGGAACATAACAGAGTTCAAAGTGTTGCCTTAACCCACAAATTCTGCAGATCGTAATCTGATTGAGCATCTGTGAGATGTGCTGGAATAGCAAATCCGATCAATGGATGCCCCACCTCGCAACTAAAGGGTCTGCTACTAATGTCTTGGTAAAGGGCACATTTAGATGTCTATTGGAATCCATGCCTTAACACATCAGAGTTATTTTGGCAGCACAAGGGCAGGGACCTACACAAGAAGAGGACTGATTAGTGTATACTGACCAGCCACACTATTAAAACCACCTGTCTAATATTGTGTGTTCCGAAACAGATATGATGCATCAAGTTGTTTTGACAGCACGAAGAGCACCTACACAAGACCCTGTTTGGTGTCTACCCCAACATGGCAAGAAACCTTACTTATGTTCAGGCTGCTGCTGCAACTACTGCTATTTTTAATCTTATTTCTTTTGCTGACATCCATAATCAGCCTCAGTCTTCCTGCAGCTCTCACTATGGCGTTCAGAACACAATGTCCCTGGCACTTTTTATAGCACCTTTGAAGTCGCAGCAGGGATTACTTAAGTAAGGGCAAATTTTGCTAACTCATTTTGATTGCATTGTGACAACTCACTTGTACCCTGACAATCATGTATATAAATAAGTGCGAGCCTGGAGGGATTAAAGGACAGTAAGGACTTTCTTTTAATATCATACGTGTATGCTTAACACAACACTTCTCATTGAGCTACATTGGGAAGTCTGTGATTGCACAATCACAGAGAGGTGAGGGCTTTCAGAGCGATCTGCAGCTTTTGCAAGATATATTCATAATGGAAAAAAAGCATAATTAAATGCATACATGTTTTAATTTGGGTTATACATACTAAACAGTGATTTTGTTTATTCTTTAAGGATTTGGGCAGCGTTGTGTTCTTCTACAAATACACATTAAAAGGGCAGTGACTAGAAGTTAGAGCCTTCTCACATGCTTAGAATTATTTACTTTTAACTTTACTCTTTACTGGATTATACAATTGTTTCTTTTGTTTTATATTTTCAAAGGTATATTGTATTCTGACATTGAGATAGAGGTAAAAGATCAGTGAAAACAACTGCCATATTTTGATGGTGTCCTAAAGAAGATATGCATAAGATGAAGTGCCGAAACGCTTCAACCGGTCTCCCTGGGATCTGATTTGGGGATTTTTTTGGCTGCTATGTCCTTGAATTTGTTAATTATTTAGACTATTTCAATAAATGCTATGCTTTATTTCATCATGGACTGCATCTGCTTCCAACATGATTTTGGGTGTTAACTCCCTTGTGATTCTGCTGAATTAGTTCTTGCTGGGACTGGCCATCCCTGCTTTGTATACTGTGCTCCACTGTCCACTAACTGGTGAGTGATTATATTAATTTTAAATAGGTGCACTTTTGGAGAAAATCTGGTTGGATTCTGGGATTATTTCCTTTTTTGTGTGTGTGTGTATGTCCTAAAGCACTCCATTCCATCTCAAATTATATTTAATATAACATTTTATTAAAAGTTTTCTTTTTTTATATATATTTAAAGCATTGAGCTTTCAGACCACAATCCAAATTAAGCAAGTTGGATGTCAAGAAGGAATTTAGGGTTGTTCCGGCAGGTATTGTATAGGCTTGTAGTCAAAGCAGGAATGTAGAGTTGTTCAGACATGTCTGGAGTAGTTTGGTGAGTAAAGTAGGTTATGAAGCCAATAAGGTAAATCCACAGGTTATAACACATGATCCAGGATCTGAAGTCTTTCAGGCAATCATCAATTTCAATGTCAAGGCCATGAGGTGAGTTGGGGGTAAACAGAATTAACTGACAAAGAAAGTCTTGTTTGTCAGGATAGGATCCTGACAGGAAGGTAATTATCTCTGTTTTTGTCACATGGAGACGAAGAATACCATCCCACCATCCCAAAGAACCTAACCAGAAAAAAAAAAAATTCATGACTGTTGGAACATAATCCTGTCTGGTGATCCCCAGAATTACCTGCCAGAATCTTACAGTTCTATCCAGATCGAGCTATGCAATTCTAAGTACTTGGAGACACTCTTAATAGATGTACAAGGGAATCAGTTCAGGAAAATGTCTGATCTTTATTAAAAGAACAAAGGTTAATGATACCCTCCCTAGACTCCCCTTTATTGTATGCTATTATAAATAACATGCAATAAAGGGGAGTCTAGGGGTGTATCATTTATTACCAATCAAATATTGACAACTATTAACTGACAGAATGCACAGCGTGTGCAAGCATGTAACAAATCATTGCTCCACAACTTATCTAGGGGGGAATTACTAAGTGGGGACATCTTAGAATAGGTGGGTGTAGGGGTAGTGTCTTCTTAAAAGATGGGGAAGTAAAATGGCCATGTGCAAAACTACATATGTGATGTGGACATCCTTACAATTTACATGGTTGCTTGTCTTATGATATAGCTAACAGAAATGAACACTTTTAATGACTCTTCATGGCAAAAGTTATTGAAGTGTTTGACATAAATGGACTCCAACAACATCTTAAAGACCACAGTACTTTAGTCTAGGGGTAGGAAACCTTAGGCACTCCAGATTAAGTGGACTACATCTTTCCTGATTCTTATTATGGCTATTAGCGCATTACTGGAAATGTAGTCCACAACATCTAGAGTTTCAAAGGTTGCTCAACCCTGATCACATATCTAAGCCCTTTCAAATCTGGCCATATTGCCTAAACATGACATGGCAGGGCCGGATTACCATAGGGGCTGATGGAGCTGCAGCTCCAGGCCCATGTCCATTTTTTTACAGTACTCGTAGGGTTGCCACCTGGCTGGTATTTATTTGAGGCTGCCTGGCCGGTGCCGATATTGCAGTAATACCGGCAACACAAATGCCTGTATTTTTCTCAGTATAAACAGAGATAACTCTGCAACACCACCACCAGCCAGTAGGGGTCATTGTGTGTGTGGAAAGAGGCAGGGATAGGAAGTTACAGCATATACCTGCATCTCTCTACTCACTGATCCGCCGGGGAGCAGCTACACAGCACATAGAGTACAGACAGCATCCCAGCCTGAAGAGACAGCCTACAGCTCAGGGAAGTGAGGGATGGGGTAAAGGCTGCAGGAAAACATGGGGACACTGTGAGACATGGGGACTCAGGGAGACCTCTGAGGATGCTGAGACACTTGGAGACATGGGGACACTGAGGCACTTGGGACACAATGTCCCCAAGTTTCTCAGTGTCTCTATGTCTCCAAGCCAGTTTTCCTGGTGTCTCCGTGTCCCTAGTGTCTGTGTTCCCATGTCTCCCAGTGTCCCTAGCGTCTTTGTGTCCATGTCTCCCAGTGTCTGTCCCCATGTCTCTGTGTTCCCATGTCTCTCAATGTTCCCATGTCTCAGTGTCCCCTAGTGACATGGGGACACTGGGAGACATGGGGACACAGACACTAGGGACACTGGGCAACATGTGGACACAGAGACATGGGGACACTGGGAATCTTGGGGCACTGAGATACATAGTCTGTGTCCCACAATGTCCCCAAGTCTCACAGTGTCCCCTGGTGACATGGGAACACAGACACTAAGGGACACATGGGAGACAGGGAGACACTGGGAGCAATCCATCTATACAGCAGAATAAAACTGCAAGTATTTTTTTTTTTGGTGATTTTACAGAATTTTCTCTTTTGTCACTCCTTGTGATTTACATCATATAATGTCATGCATACATAATTAGTTATGCAAATTAGTAAGGCCTGTATTTTTTTCAGAGAAAGGTGGTAACCTTAACTACTGTTCACATACTTTTGCTTAAGTATGGAAACAAAACTTGTGTGGACTAGCTACAATTACATTAGTTAAGGTAATGCTGACTTTGGTCTCTCTAACACTGTGGTATGTTCCCTTTCTTCTACACTCACTACATCAACCTTTTTCGCTGCCTCAGACTTGCAACGGATCCCCTGGCACCCCGACTGGGTACCTCCATTGAAGGATGCTCCTAGCGCTTTCTGAGGGCTCCGAGCACTCCAGCCGACACCATAACCACCATAGACTCCTTCCGAGAGCTTAAAAGTGATTATCCAAGGGAGCATGCAGAGCATAGCAATCCCTTGTAGTGATATAGCAATTACAATGCAAGTACAGCAGCCAATCAGACACAATTGGACAATATAAACACATCCAGCATAGTCTTCCCCTCTGCTTAGGAGATAATTGAGTCAATTACTGTATCTACTCAATTATCTCCAAGCTGAAAAATTACACATTTTTATAACTTTGTGAGTTTACATTATACATACATAAAACTTATATTATTTTAACCAGTATAACTTGGGGACAAACATATTCAAAATTCACTTGAATAGGTTCAGAGGTTTAAAAGTTAGGTCGAGTCCTTTGTTATCATTTGCAAGCATTGTTTTTCCTGCTCTAACCAGTTCCCACTGGTCTGGCAGTGTCCCTGGGACAACACCCTGCTGGAGAACAATGGAGCTGGGGGAGGGGAAGAGCCACACCTTCCCAGGGATTCAAATGGGAAGAAAAAGTGTCCAAAAAGTTTAATTATGTCCATATGTTTAAAGGGCCAGTACCGTACAATAAGAGTCCATAAGCCCAAATGCTGGTTTAAACGGGTACAATCTCCCAGGGGCCATAGTCGCAGGGCAGGAGGCTGGCAAGCAGGCCTCTCCAGGACCAAGTGGCGAAGTGCACTTTGTCACAAGACTGAATACCAGGAGCTTCTGCCTGCTAGTAAGAAGGTAAGGAGACAAGTGGACATGTGAGTGCTAGGGGGCAGTCCTTAGAAAGCATGGAGCAAGCGCATTATTAGGCGCATTTATGCCAAGCTCAGGATACTGTTGGAACAAAGAGATTTAACTCATAAAAGACAGGAAATTGAGATGTGAAACTGAAGGGGCATGATCTATACACCAAAACTAAGCTAATGTTATTTATTATAGTACCCTTTTATTGTGCTAAAGTATATGATACATGAAATACACAGTAATATATGATAATTCTATCAATCATATTATGGTTATTACAGTGTCATATTATATTATATTATAGTGTCATATTATGGTCATTACAGTGTCATATGGTTATTACAGTGTCATCTAGTAACAGTTTTTTTAGGGCCCCGCTCAGGGGTGGGGACCGGGGGGGGGAAGACAATAGGTCCCCTCCCCCTATTGGTATTTATAGCCCCCACCTGCCGCTCAGGTGTCAGGGTCAGGGGGGAGGACATTAGGTCCACCCCCTTATTAGTATTTAGGACATTAGGCCCCCCCTTATTAGTATTTAGGACCCCCACCTGCCACTCAGGGGCCACAGGCTGCTCACTGTTTAATAGACATGCCCCTACTCGCAGTATAGTGTATAGGGGCAAAATTTACTAATACTAAGTAATTTTTACTTAGTATAAGTAAATTTGTCTGAAAGACCAATTTAGGTCTTTCAGCCTTTTGGTAGATAACTCCCTAATACCATGGGAATCAGGGAGTTATCTACTAAGCGGCTGCAATAGAAGTCCCAAAGTGCCGAAGTTCTGAAATTCCGAAATGCTGAAGTTCTGAAATACCGAAGTTCCAAAGTGTTGAAGTGCCGAAGTTGCCGAATATTCGTAGTGTCGAAGTTCCTAAGTGCTGAAGTGCCGAAGTTCCAAAGTGTTGAAGTGTCGAATTGCTGAAGTACCGAATTGCGAAAGTCCCGAATTTCGGAAAGCCGAACCGAGCCGCAAATTTTCCCCATGCACATGTCTAGTATTCAGGTCCTGTGTCTGAAAAACAAGCCTAACTCATTGTAACGGATCGCCTGGCCCCACGACTGGGTACCTCCATCAAGCTTGCTTCCTAGCTCTCCTCTGGGACACAGACCTGCTTCAGCAGCTAGCCGTTGCAGCTTGGCTGTGGTCTCTCAGTCACTTCCCACCCTAGAACAGGGTCCTGGGTACAGCTGTAAGTGATTAAGCTCTCCTGCAGAGAGTATAGCTGATCCACCCAGACACTAGCCCAGACTGAGTGAAGGGTGAAAAAGAACTAATTTATTATGGCCAAGTTGCCTGCTTATATACACAACCCCCAGCAGGGGGTCTCCATACAATACAATGCAAGTCCCTCCTCAAAAATCTCTGTGCCTGGGGGATAATTGCGTTAAAGACTAAACATGTGCATTCGTTTTTATCTGAAAATTCTGTTTTTTTTCCGTATTTGTTTACTAAAACGTAAACGAAAGCCCTACATACGAAATATGACAGATCCCCCCATTCCCCTATGGTGTGGAACCCAAATAACTAAAATTGGGAGGACATAGTGCCCCCCATGACCCGTGGGTTGGGGCTATTAATATAAACGGGGGGACTTAGGGCCCCCCAGTCCCCCACCCGTGACCTTAATTAAATAAATATTGGGGGGGCTCTAATGTCCCCCCAGGTCCCCACCCATGAGCAGCGGGTGGGACCCTTAATTCATTAAAGGGGTAGACCTAATGCCCCCCCCAGGTCCCGACCCATGACCGGCAGGTGGGGACCTTAAATAAAGTGACCAGGGGTCCCCAACCTCTTAGTCAACCCCCCAATAAAAATACTCTAAAAATAAAGTATAATTATAATAATAATAACAATAATAAAACCTAATAAAAGTGAGGGGGGCAATAAACTAACACCCTGTAAAATAAAGTTTCATTCTTACCAATAGATGTCTTCTTTTCTTTCCTTTCTTCAGCTCCTAAAAAGGCCAAATAAAAATCCTTAATTGTCCTGCCAAGCTTTTAAATAGGTAGGGTATTTTTATTGGTTTGGGAAGTGATTAGGGGCTTGGGGACCCCTAGTCACTTTATTATTTGTCGTCCCCACCTGCCGGTCATGGGTGGGGACATTATGGTACCCACATTATTTATTTAATTAGGGTCCCCACCCACTGCTCATGGATGGGTACCAGGGGGGAGCATTAGGTCCCCCCTTTAATTAATTAGGGTCTCAACCCGCGCCGCTCATGAGTTGGGATCTGGGGAGGACATTAGGTCCCCCCTTTTATTTAATTATTTAAGGTCTCCACCCACCGGTCATGGGTGGGGACCTGTCCCTACTCCCGGCATGCAGTGAGCATGCGTGAGGATTTAACCTCCCTTTTATTAAAGGGAGGTGACCCACATTGGTTAATGCGGGGGGAGGTTGGAATTGTTAATGTTAATTAATACATCCCCTAATAGCCCTTATCTGAGTGCCCATATTCTCAAAATAGTGCTCAGATCCATGCAGGGTAGGGGAAACACCACAGTGTTAGTTCTGACCTGCTGCACAAGTGGTCCTATGCCCAAAACAGATCCAGGGCATTTGATGCTTTGTCGGTCTTTCGGGAGCTCCTGTGGCTGCAATACAGGGTGCTCAAGCTGGCTCTTAGGTAGCGTTTGTTTCCCTTAGTCTCAGACACCTACCCTCCAAAAAGCGCTCTCCTGGCAGATTTCAAAGTGGTTAAAAACCGCAAACTAAGTTGTCCGGGAACCACAAGGTAACCTCATGCCAAAAACAGTTCCATAGTTAAATCCATCGCTTCTCACCCTAGAACAGTGTCCTGGTTACAGCTGTAAGTGATTAAGCTCTCTTGTAGAGAGTATAGCTGATCCACACAAACACCAGCTCAGACTGAGTGAAGGTGGATTATGGTCAAGTTGCCTGCTTAAATACACAATCCCTAGCAGGGTGTCTCCACACAATACAATGCTAGCCCCTCCCCAAAGATCTCTGTGCCTGGGATATAATTGCGTTAAAGACCGGTAAGCAAATTATCTCCCAGGAACAGAGAGGTAAACATAAAAATACCCCAAATCATAAAAAATATATAATAACCCCACAAAAAAATGCATCCCAAAATAGCCCTGTGGTGTTTCCCCTACACTGCATGGATCTCAGCGTAATTTGTAATACTTGGATTTTCAGATCCATGCAGTGTAGGGGAAACGCCAAAGTGTTAAAGCTCTGACTGGACTCTGACTCTGCACATGTGTTCCTATGCCCGAAACAGTTCCAGGATTTCATGCTTTGGTAGGTCAACTTTTGGGAACTCCTGCGGCTGCAGTTTGGGGTGCTCTGGCTGGCTCTTAGGTATCGTTTGTTCCCCTTAGTCTTAGACATCTTCCCTCCAAAAAACTTTCTCCTGGCGGATTTCAAAGTAGTTCAAAACCGCAAACTAAGTTGTCCGGGAACCGCACGGTCACCTCATGCCAAAAACAGTTCCATAACAGTCGCGGCTGAGTCCCGCTGAGGTGACCAGGAATCCATTATGTCCTCATGCTATATTTAGTTCCATAACAATTGCAGCTAAGTACCGCTGAGGACAATTTGATGGTTTGGTTCATGTGAATGGCACCAGAGATCCAGCTTTCCGTTCCATTCTCATGAAGTGAAAGTGCTTAACCAGGGACACCCAGGGAGAGCTGCTAATATCG